AAGAGAAGCAATTTTCAGGTTATATGCACAGAAAGCTAAACTGGACTCTTAAAACATCACAGTGAAACAAAACCTACCCAACAGCAAGCAGAATAATCTCATGGAAATCCATTTACTTAGACTGATAGTGTTCCTTGCTGCTCACTAAGGAAGTAGTATTCTTTAAACAAATGAGGCTGCCCTGTGTGTCCCAGAAACAGAGCCTACAATGACAAACAAATCTGCTGCCCAAATGTCACCAGGGCCAGGCAGCACAGGGATGCTCACAGCCAGCACTCCTGGGTCACATTACACCATCACCACAGTGCTCCTCACCCTCTAACTCACGGTCAGGGACAGCACAGGGATGCTCACAGCCAGACTCCTGGGTCACGTTACACCATCACCACAGTGTTCCTCACCCTCTAATTCACAGTCAGGGACAGGTCACAACCTGAGGCCTTCCGGCTTTTCTGTGCCAGCCTCCAGTGCCACAAAACCAGTTACCCACCCAGCTCAGTTCTGCTTCCATATCTCCACCTGAATTCCACACTGTGGTATGCTTCCACCTCACAAGTCCCATGTATTCCTGAGGATTTAAGGGTTTGTGCTCTTGGTTCTCACAGAAAGCATCACCTGTGAGTGACCTGGAACAAATGCCACAGAGGAGACCAAACCACTCAGTCTCACTGGGCACATGTGATTCAAAGAAGGTGCACAACTCTACAGGTGGCAGTGGAACAGCTTTTCCAACACAGCAGTACCTTTCCTTTGATTCAAGGCTGATTTCTCCAGGGAATGCTCTCAAATCGTGCTGCCTTTGGCAGACAGGCACGGAAAGGCCTGGAGGGTGGGACGGAGGGAAGCAGCACCCTAGGAAGCCACACCGTGTCCTCTGAGGGCTTCAGAGCAGCAGAGTCCCCACGAGTTCAGAGCAGTTTCTGCTCACTGTAATTGCTTTAACAGCACCCGACATAGGAAAGGAAATTAATATTCCTTTGCTCGGCAGCCAACTGTACTTCCCACACAGCTTGAAGGGACTGAGCTCAGCTACTACATGGAAAATGAACCCATCACCAGCCTGGAAAGCCATTCCAGTGCTTGGTGCTGATACTCCATGAAGATGCCAAGGAATCTGGGCAGGATTTTACCAAACTGAAACCCAAAAAACAACCCCTCAAACTTGTGATTAGATGCTCAACATCCTGGAACAGACATTGGTGTAGCGAGGGGTAAACAGGAACACAAACACATGTTTCTGGGTACCAACATCCTCCTCCAAAGAGAAGCTTGATGCAAACACATGCAAATGTAGAGCATTTACTGCAAGGAATGATTCACCACCTTCTCTTGTTGCAATAGACGTGAACACTTTAGCAAAACAAAGGAAGCTAAGGCACTGTCCAAACACACACAGAGGGTACATTGCAGGCTTTGATATGGCAGGAGGTAGCTTTAATTAGCACAGCCACAAGGCTCAACGTTAGAAAAGAAAATGTGAAGACAAATACAAAACAACACTAAAATGGATCATTTGAAAAAAATTATACACAGCTAAGGTCCCTGGAAGTGACTTATAGAGTGACTGAATTAGCAAGTTGACTCGAAGAACCATGACCAGGAGTAAATTGGACTTTCTAGGCCAAGCTACTCATGATGTTTGAGCGAAGACCTAACATATGGGAACAAGAAAACATCCTCCTTCTCTGAGACACCGAGAAGTAGTGTGTGCACAAGTGAAGGAACAAGCAGGGCACTATGTGCTGATCATGCTCATGCATCTATCCCTGTCAGTAAGCTCAGATGCTCTCTGTACCCCCGCACCGTGTCACCTCCTCCTGTGCTCCTGTCACCCCCAGTCCCACACCACACCCTGCTCTGTACAGCCTCACCGTGCTCACACAGCCCAGCCAGCCCTCTGTGCTGCAGCAGACTGGAGTAGCTGGGCACCAGCAGCACCTGGAGAGTGCCAGCCTAGCTGCTGGCAGTGTCCGTGTGTCCAGCGCCAGTGTCCAGGTGGACATCCCTCCCTCATCGCACTCCCCGACTGCAGCTGGCATAGCTCACACTGCCATGGATTCCTGGCTCCCCGGGGAACGGGGAAGATCTCCATGGAAACAGACAGTAGCACTTGTTCTTTTGATAGTATTCTGACATGGCTGTAATAAAACTTCGTTTATGACAACGCATGACGGCTGTTCCAGCGCGGCTCTGCGCTGCCCTCACTGCCATCCATTTGCTGCTTCGCATGGAACACCATGCCTGGCACTCCCATGTGCCAAGAAACTGTGCTGTGAGAAAATGGGAGCACGGGCTAAAGAGGACATTTAGTGCAGTTCTGTTAATAGGACCAGAGGATGTGCATCATGTGGTGAGAAATAGCCCCAAAGCATCCTAAAGCCTCAGTGGATTATTAACACAGCTCCTCCCACCCACGGGGACAGGGAATGCATGATCCAAAACCAGTTACACACCCAACTTGAGAAAAAGATCTGTGTCACAGCAAGACATTTTGGTACTTGCAGATCCAGACAGAGACAAAGGCACCAGGCTCTGTCCCTGCAGGGTGTGCCTGGCCCGCAGTGGTGGGGAACCCACTCAGGCTGTGGCAGCACTGCAGGAGGGAGCAAGAGGCAGCCAGAGCAATCCAGGTGCCGAGGAGGGAGTGGAGATGCTTTGACTTAGGGCAATACAATAGCCTCCAACAACAAGTGGAAACCATTTCCAATTTCTTGGCTCTTAAAACATTCCCAATGGGACACAAAGACACAAACTGAGATGTCCTACCAGGATGGTTTTCTCATACTGGGCACAGAAGATGGTTCCCTTGCTGCACTAGAGTGGGTAACTCCACAGACAGTCCAGAATTGGATTCAATTCGTGCCGCTCTCCCTGTCTCAGCAAAGACCAGCACTACTTATGTGCTCGTAATTAATTCCCTGTCAGTAGATCATTTCAGCCATGCTGCTGGCAGAAGCCAGATCATACTGGCTGAAACCCAATTAAAGGTGCTGAGGTGTGCTTGGCCAGCACCACATGGAAGCTGTCACACAGGGACAACTTCCAGAGCCGTAAAGACGTTGAGGAAGTCCTGGAGACTCGGCAGTGTGCTTCAAAGAGGGAGGTTACAATAACTGTAAGTTTAACATTCAGAGCTTTAAATACATTCACAGTTTTGACAGGTGATAAAAAAGACAATTTCCTTTTATGTTCATGGGCTTGTAGTAATTACAGGCTCTTGTTCCCAGAACCTGAGCAGCAGTGGGATAACAGTGCTGTGCTGTAGCTTCCCCATGGACTCCAACACCCCACAAGGACAGCAGTGCAGTCCCCATAACCTGCCTCACTGCTGTGAGAAGTCAATCTCTCCCCAGGGCCACAGGGCACAGCCTGCAGCACTCCCTGAAGCCAACAGTGTCCTGCTCTTCCTACAGCAGCAACAGCATGGAACCAAACTCAGAGGTTCCACACTTGCATCGTGCTAGGAACCTACAGAATGCATGGCTGAACACAACACTGTGCCCCATGAAAAGACAGTGGTTGTGATTCTTGCAGCCTGCACAAGGAGCAGCAAGACATTACAATCTGGGAAAGTATCACAGAATCATTCAGGTTGGAAAAGATCTCTGAGATCAACTCCAACCTGTGACCAATCACCACCTTGTCAACAGAGGCCCGAGTGCCACATCCAGTCATTCCCTGAACACCTCCAGGGATGTTTCCTGAGCACCTCAAGGGATGGTGACTCCACCACTTCCCTGGGCAGCCCCTTCCAACACCTGACAGCCATTTCCATGGAAAAATTCCTCCTGAAGGCCAACCTGAACCTCTCCTGGCACAGCTGGAGGCTGTTTCCTCCTGTCCTGTCCCCTCCTGTCCTGTCCCTTGTTCCCTTGGACAGAGCCTGACCCCACATAGCTGCACCTCCTGGCAGGGAGCTGGAGAGAGTGAGAAGGTCCCTCTGAGTCTCCTTTTCTCCAGGCTGAGCCCCCACAACTCCCTCAGCTGCTCTTAGTACTGACTCTTCAGCCCCTTCCCCAGCTCCGTTCCCTTCTCTGGACACACTCCAGCACTCCCATATCTTTCCTGCAGCGAGAGGCCCAGAACTGGACACAGCACTCAAGCTGCCTCACCAGTGCCCAGCACTGAGGGACAATCACTTCCCCAAAATGTGGATGTGGAAAGTCTTTTCCAATTTCTAGAGTTCCAAGCTTCTCTGTGACACTGAACATATTTAAGCACTGTTTAACATTAAAAAGAAAATCATACCAAAGACACCATGAAAAACTGCTTCCTAACACCCTCCCTCTTCCCAGCCTTTTTCCAAGAAAAAAGTAAGTGGGAGTGAGGAAAGGAGAGAGCCATTGGAACACACTTCATTAACAGTTGTTTCTAGCTTATAGCTCAGGGTACAGACACCAGAGAGACACCCTCCCCCCTGTGCTGCCCTAGCAGACATGGCCACAGGAGATGCCATCACCAGGAGCACGAGCACACAGTACACTTTCGAGCAGCAACCTTGGCAGATCATCATATGTTTTCCTCAAATGCTGTATCTGGCATCTGTATTGGGAAGAGAGGAAGGAAATGCTACTGAAACAAAGACGTGGCAGGCTGAGCCCCTGCAATTTTTGGCAGCAGCAACAGCTAAGCAGCTGCCAACACAGCTATAGGCTCAGCTCCCTGTAGCTGAAGTGCCCAGAGGAGGTTTTGGGAAGGAAATCATTGCTCTCCTCTCCCTCCCCCATCACTTCTTTTCCATGGAACGTGGTAGGGACGAGAGAATGGCACAAAACACAGAAGCAAAGGCCATCATCATCTTCAGAACAGCAGGCAGCAGGCACGTATCAAACACATTTGTTGTGCCGGAGGGAAGAGCAAGCAACAGGGCTAAGAATTGGGATCTTTGCCAAGTCATTTCCAGGTGAACTCCCCAGAGGACAAGCACTAACAGAAGAGACACCTGAGGACTGTAATGTTGCTTTATGCAGTCATCATGCCCATGGGAAGCATGGGTGTCAGAGGTGAAACAGTGCCCGAGCTCAGCGTGCACAGCCATGCGAACTGTGCCAGGCTGCAGCAAGGACAGGCAGGCTCCCGGTCTGGAACGTTCTGTTCACACTGCACATCTGGCTGCTTAAGCCCATCTCTCTATTTCTATTGGCCACAGCTCATCCACAGGTATTTTCCATTTTTCTTCCACCTAGCTGGACAAGAAGGTTTATTTTTGACAAAGCACCATGGATATATACAGGAACTACATCTCTCGCCTGGAAGTCAGATATGAGCACTAACTCCCCCCATGCCCAGGGAAGAGACAGACTGGCTGGAGGTACTCTGCCACCGCTCTGATCTGAGCTGGAGCAGCTCACATCCACACATGAACTGTATTCACTCATACTCTGCAGTGACTCAGGCCAAAATCTCCACCAAGCTCCATCAGAAAGCCAATGTAATGGTCCTGGCAATCCTGACCTCAAGCCTCAGTCCTTCTCCTTCCCACTCTTTCATGGGGTGTGATGCAGTCATGAAGAACTCCTAGTCTCTACTGCCCATTTACCATTCAGATCCTGGAGCACAAACTGTTTGTTTTGGACTTGGTAATCAACTCCTGAAGCACATGAAAGGATTATCAATAGCAGGGGGCGGAGGAATTAAAACCATCTTTGCTAACCATCTGTGTTTGACTAACAGCAGCTATATGGGCCCAAACATACAGCATTACTCAGCGACCAGCAAGAGGCTGAACTGCCAACAAGATGGGAGCTAAAACCCATGTTGCTTCAGAGACTCTACATGAGCTTAGAAATGAACCAGCCCCTGAGCACATAGTGCTTAACTCAGCATATATTGACCCAAACAGGATGTCTCTATCACTGGCCAAACATGAACTGTTTCCCTTGAACTCCCCTAGCTCCTGTTCCCCTGCAGACAGAACAGCCAGACCTGCTAGTTGTTATTGTAGATGCTCTGGAGAGATATGTAGATTTTACCTTTCTCCACAGTACTCATTCAGCATTTGTTTCACCAGACAGAGCCAGGGAATGCTTTGGATGTTTCTCTTTATCACTTCCAAAATTTCTTCCTGAAAAATATTCCCTCTTCTCTTTTCCTCCCACCTAGGCCAATCCTTCCCATCCCTTTTTTCTGGCACAAGACTGTGGGTTTGGACTCACACACTGGTGACTGTACACAGCCACACCTAATCCTCAATTGTGCACTTCACCCACAGCATTTCAGTACCCATTCCAGCAATTTCATGGAATTTCCAACTCCTGGTTTATTATTAACTGGAACCTCTGCTCCTACAGATATTCTTACACACATGGTCCAAAACTGCCCATACACAGGTGCATTGCTCTTCCCTAAACAAACTTACTGAGTGTGAGTGCAACACGTTCATCGCACAACTGACTCAGCACCACTTGCTGCAGTGTGTTCCCAGGCCTTTCTCCAGGAATACTGTCAAAAATGCACTAACCTTAAGCCATTGAACAGCTGCTTAGACTTGTCCAATAAGTAGCAAAAGTCTGTCACTGTTTTCCTCTCTGCTTGAGGAATATCATCTTCAGCTCCTCCTGATGACATGATTTCTTTTAGGGTAAACTCAGTCCTACAGAGAAGAAAACAGCCACATTACTCAGAAATCGAGGGCTGCTATGAACTCATCCAGGTCAGATGCACGTACAGTCCCATGGGGATGCAACACAGAGCATGCACTTCCCCCACAGGTTACTCTTCTCAAGACTCATTAAAATTAACAGCTGAGAATCAAAGCATGGGATTAACTACCGCACAATGCACTAGTTAACACAGCAAAATTAAAATAACAGTGGTACAAGAGTCGTAAAATAAAATAACTCTGAGGACTCTTCACAAAGACAAAAATGCCAACAAAAGGACTAGCACAAACAGCACTTGGGTTTCACACTTGGACCAAGGAATCCTCTCCAAATTTGCCTTCTGCAGAGGGGTTTATCCTGCAGCTGGATTCAGAGAGCAGCCTCAGCTCTCTGTGCATTTCCTTTTCTTCTGCAACTGCTGAAAACTGTAGCTCATTAGCTCCTATCGCTAAAACATAGCAAATTCAGATAGAATGCTAAAAAATACCCAACTGTCCTTCCTCTCTTCTTCCTCCTGACTGTTTCATTCCATGGGTTGCATTGCCCACAATTATACCTGCAGATCTATTTTTACTGCTCACATGAGCAAAATGTCATATTGTACAATATTGTACCTGAACAGATATAATGCAGATAATCCTAGTATTGAGTAAGGAGGGGAATATGAAAGCCTATAGAGGCAGAGTGGCTTTTAAAATCTTCCTCCAAACATGCACAGACACCAAATTATCCTTCCGAGCATCCAAAAATGAGCTACAGATTTCACAGCAGCAGCAGCAGCAGCAACAAAACATCTCCTCTGGAAATGGCTGCCAGGTCTTCAGCTCCTCTGTGCTCAGGATTTTAGTGAGAGATAAACACACCTCTGGTTGGGCAAATGCACAGCCTTCACTTCCAGCAGCTTCTCTACCGGTACTGGTAAGTGCTTTTGTTAAGCAACAAGTTTCCGTTTGTGCAGCAGCTCTGTTTGGATGCTCCTGGCACAAATAATTACCTGCACATCCCAATTCAGGCCAGGAAATGGCAAACCTCACTCCTTACAGCCACTGGGAAGCACCCAGAAGCATCCTTCAGCAGTGGCCACAAAAAACCTTCCCAATAAGCAGAGGCTTCAGAGAGACTCCCCTGAACAAACTCTTCACGCCACCAAATGCAGGAGAAATTGGCAGTTTTTGGGGTAAGTCAGGGAGACCTCGTGCCAGCCAAAGAGCCTCCTGGTTTCCCAGTTCAGCCAGGATGGAGCACACGTCCCACATGGCAATGCATTCCAGCACGAGTGTAAGGCCATGGAGTGCAAACCACTTGTGAGGAGCTCCCGGGAAAGGTAGGAAGTATCTCCATATTGCCAGGTAACTGCAATATGGGTCCAGACAGTGCAGGAGAGTCCAGAACATACCACCCACATGCCACGAGCTGTTGGCACAAGCCTGGCAAGCAGGACATGGACACTGAAGCACCAGGCTGTGCCCGAAATCCCCGAACACTCACATCCACACCGCACAGAACACAACACTGAGCACTCAGAGCACCAACAGACGAGACCGAAGGGAACAGTGAGACCTAAAAAGAGATGTCAGCAGTAGCCAGGAGGTGGTTCAGGAGGTCCAGGCAGAGGGACAGTACCCGGGCGTTGTGTGCTCTGCAGCAAGGCTGACCTCGATCCCGCGGCGAGGCCCTGGGCTCCGCGTGCTCCCCAGGGTAGGTCAGGCACTCCAGAGCAGCTTCAGACACATGGGCAAACAGTGAGGAGCTTTCTTAAATTGCAAAGTTTCACACAGTCTGTGTATCACGCCTTTCATGCCATGGCAAAGTGAATTTTATGTTACACTACCCGTAAGTTATACAACCCAACGACCCCAACCACTGTCAGCGTTGGCCAACAGAACCCGTGTGAGCCCTGGCACAGGCAGGCAAAGCCAGTCTGGTTTGGTCTGTTTATTTAAAACCAAGCAAATCTCACATGGTAGGAGTCCACCAGACCCACTGTGAAGAGGGTCATTTATGCAATCAGTAAAAGATAGGCTAGAAAATCCATAGCTTGCCGATCTGAGAGGTGTCAGAAGGCAGGAAAAATAGGTGAAGCTGGATTTTCCAGCTGGCAGAGAAGGAAAATTAATGAGCTCTCTCATGCACTGGTTTTGGCTGCTCATGCTCTGGAGGGGGTGGTATTTGGGGCTGTACAAAGGAAGAGCTACTACCAGGAGCAGCTCGGCAGAGGAGGAGGTGCTCCCTGCACTAAGGACTGGTGTAATGCAGCAGCAGTACAGACAGGAGGGAGAATTATTATTAGAACAGCAAGTGGGCACAGCAAAGGGAGGAATATAGCTCCTGACATCGCCCTTTCCTCGGGGACTGCTCAGCTCCAAAGGAACAACACAAATAAAATGCAGCCAGGAGTACATCCACAGTGTGGATCTCTCCTTCCCCTCGGAGCTGCCCCACGGAGCTGTGCTCCTCCTCTGCAAACAGACAGCTCCCCCAGTTCTGACAGCCTGGCTACACCACGAGCATCACCTACTTAATTTTTTGGTCTGTTTGATGCTTTCTGCTTTCTTACATGCAAGAGAAACCATTGGGCTGTTTTACATGACATTTTTTTCTTAAGTAGCACATGTTCAAAAACTGATCTCCAGAGTCTGCAAAAGGAGACACTGAAACACTGGTTTAAAAGACTGTTAAGTCAGAAAATGGTGACTTGCCGCAGAACTTATTATTCTCTCAAAGATTTTGCCAGCTCCTCAGGCCATACATGGCAGAAAGGCTGTGCTAGCCAAGCCCTGCGTGCCAGGTTCTTCCAAGGCGCTCCCAGAACACACAATTCCAGGTTTGCTTAGTGCAACACATTACTGGATGGTACAAACCCTGCGGTGCCCAGGGCAGCAGAGCTTTGCAGCCAGCCCAGGGTCGGCAGGGCAGGGAGCTGAGGGGCCGTGGGAAGGCCGTGGCAGGGATGGGGGCTGAGAGGTGCTGGGCAGCGTTTCTGCGTCAGATGTCACTTATATCACTCACATCTCCACTTCCCTGTGGTTTGCAGCCTTTTGGCTAAGGTTTTCCAGGCTGAGCTGGAAGGGAAAAAGAGTGCCGCAGTGGATGGCATGCGCTGCCCACGGCCCTGGGGCTCACGGGGCAGGTCCAGCAGGGAAACCTTACACAGCTGCATCCCATGCACGTCCCCTCAGGTCCATGACACAGCCAGGATCACTGTGACCTGCCACTCAGCTGCCTGCTGGAAGAGGGAGGTTGCAAATTCACACCTGACACGGACAAGCAAAGAAAACCTCCCGTCACTGAGGATTTAGTGACGGTGCAGCCACAGGGCACAGTGGAGTCAGGAGTGTGTAAGCTGTGCAGGGAGGACCGGAGGACCAGGAGCAGTTTCTGAGAGCAGCACAGCAGAGCTGGCTGGACGTGGCACCTTGCCCTCCTGACAGAGCACTCACATAACCCATCTGCCTCTCTTCAAGCCATCGCTTCTGCTCCATTGTGGCATCCTGACTGGTTTTCAAACGCTTCCCACTCCTCACTTGGAGATGCGAGTGGTAATCAAAAACCCAAAGCAAGCACGCTTTGCACATCTCTCTTGTTGATACAGGATTTTCCCCAAACTAAGCCATCCCTAGAACTGCTCTCTCAGAAACCAATGGTGGAAAACACGTTCCAGTCTACCAGGATTTCAAAGCTGTCAAGCCTTGAGTCAGAGACCAGCTCTCCACTTTTCATCCTGACACATCTCCCACAGCATCACTGCCAAAAGGGGATGTGATCCAAAGCCAGACACCCAGCTGGTATCTATTTCTTATCTGTAGATTAACAACACAGATAAAACTAAGCTCTTGATCACTGATACGCAAAGCCTGGAACCATCATGTCTCAAATCTCTACCAAAAACCAGCTGATCTTACCTCATCAAGCACAAAGCCTACCTTGGCTCCCTGTTTGCCTCTCCTTTTCTTCTACAGACTGGCACACTCATCTTGTGTTTTCTTTCAAAGCTACGCTGCACGTTTTGGGAAAACCATCTGTGTTTCCATGTGATCTGCTCAGAGTGCTAGTCCTGACAGAGCCTCAGACAACACAAAATTCATTAGAACCCAAATTCCTTCCTCTCACCAGAATACCTAATTCTCCAGCGAGAGCCACTGCCCTGAAGCTCCTGAGACACCTCTCGTTCCTACCCTGACACACCAAAACAACTAACCAGCAATTCCCCCAGACAGGCACCAAAACCTCCCAGCCTGAGGGGTCAGGATGTCCGGGGGAACAGCAACGAGCAGTTACACATCTAACCAACTCTTTTTAAAGTGTATGGGGGGCAGGAAGAAGATCTCTTTATTATTCTAAGGTTTTCAGTAAAATTTGGAACCAAACAGAGACATTCCTCATCCCGAGCACTGTTCACCTCAGGGCACGTCTGCACTGCAGTGGCTGCAGCTCTTCCAGACGTGCTCAGCTCCTGTTCCAGCAGCTCCTTGGATGCTGCAGGAGGCACCTGGGGGCAGGCTGAGCCCACACCTGGGCTCCTGGCAGGGCTCAGCCCCCAAGGACAGCAACACCAGGGGAACCTGAGACCAGAGTGTCTGTGCCAGCTCTGCTCACGGCTGTGTGAACACACACTCAGCCTGCCCAAGGAAAGGGACCTGGGCAGAGCTCAGGCCTTGGGGACAGTTGTGTTTGAACAACACACCAAAAAGCAACTTTAAATCTCACTTAAAGAGAAACAAGTAGCTGTTTTATTTAGCCAATAACACTGGCCAAATGGTGTTCTCTTTGCCTGGATGTTTGCTTACTTCAAAGGACACCACAGAGAAATTAACTAGGAGGGTGAAAGTGATTATGTACACAAATCGGTGTGGCTGACAAAATCACCTCCAAACGTGACTAGTTCTACTCCTATTGGGAATGCTCCAAGAACGTGTCTTTCCTACTGAAGTACACCTCTTTTACAGCTAAAAATTACTGCTAAAGGTTAAGAGGGAAGTCACTCGAAAAA